AAAAAAAAAAAAAGTTTTGGTGAAGTTGATGCTTCTGGTCTAGGACCCCACCTTGTAAACCGCTGCTCTACAAAGTACGCTTAATCACACCAGCCCTGGTGCAGAGGAATAGGAGAAGTGACATATCCAAGGCCACCCAACAAGTTTGTGGCTGAACGAGAATTCAAGCCAAGGTCAGTGTGAACCCAGAACCAGAGTTCTGAGTTCCCTGCCCACTCATCTCTCTTGACCACGTGGAACTTCAACAAGCTCCAAAGGGCTTCCCACCACAGGCCCTTCCTGTCTCCCGCAGAGGAGAAGGCACAGTCTGTGAAGGCCATGGGCCTGCAGTGCCTACTTCTCCGGCTGTTACAAGGCCACTATAAGGTAGTGTTCAGACATGGACAGTCTCCCCCACACCTGGCTGCTTTCTGCTTCCCACTTCAGGGAGTGGCCTCTGGCCAAGGCTGGTCTCTGAAGGGTATGCATAGTTCCAGTAACAAGTCATGGTGTGCGGGTGATCAAGCAAAGCTGAAAGCAATGCAGTCATCACTCATAACCAATGTATAGGAAACGGAATAATTAACTTGCTTGATTATAAAACTGCTCACCATACTGCCCCAGTGCAGAGTCTTCACCGATGTGCCACCATCAGTGCCTTCCGTAAGTTTTAACAAACCAATGTCTTTCCCTGCTGGACTTCTGGGTCACTTCTTTGGAAGAGAAGCATTATGTGCAAACCCTCTCAGATTTGGGGTTACTGCGTTACAGCCAGAGAAAAGGGAACACCAATGCTGGGACCCTAAGCAGGGCTCCTGGGAGCAGCTCCCAATTAGGCAGCTGAGTACCTACCTCGGCTGCGGGTGGCTGGCCTGGGGGCCTCAGGGCCGAGGGCAGGTGGCCCCTGGGGGTCATTCATGAAGTGGTGGAACCAGCGGCGCCGCAGTTGGCGCAACTCCGAGTTGCGGCTCCGGAGCCAGCGAGGGCCTGGCCGTGGCCGGGTCAGGGGGTTCCGCAGCACGTCCACGCCGAGCAACAGCTCTGGGCTGACGCGGGGGTCATGCAGGGCTCTGCTGTCCAGCAGGCCCACACCCAGCGCCACGGCAGCCACTGGCAAGGCCTGCAGGGGGCCAGGTGCCCGGAGGCCCTGAGGGAGGGCCACTCGGGCCCGCTGCAGCAGCAGTAGGCTGCCGGTCATCAGGTAGGCAGCCGTGAGGAAGAATAGCAGGAACTGTGTGCGGCGGAGAAACTTCTGGAGTCGGAAGAAAGGTTTGGCCATGCCCCTGGGCGGCAGGGCTCCCAGCTGGAGCCCGGGGATGGCTCCTAGCGCCCAGGCTGGAGGGAGGCCAGGGCCTCTGGAGGCATCATCCTTGCATCCTGGTTCCTGGCACCTGCCTGGGCTCTCCTGGGGTCACTATTCCTGTCCCGTTTCCAGCTGGTATTCAAATGGCACCATCACTTATCTCCAGCGGCCACTGGCCCCTGCAGCTGCAGCTTCTGCCCAGGTGTCACAGACTGCTCCATCCCTGGGCTCTACTGGCCCTCATCTCCTGGCTCAGATATCTGGAAAGACAGAGAAGGAGAGCTTAGGTCTAATATTAAAGTCCACTACCCACTCTTTGGGGCCAGGACACCCCGTACCCCATGCTTGCTTTATCAAAAGGGCCAGCTGTGTTGTAGGAACACTGGTGGAGCTTGGTGCAAATTCCAGTTCTGTCATTGGCCAGCTGTGTGATATTGGGCAGGTTGCTTAACCTCACTGGGCCTCAGCTTCCTCAGTTGAGAAATGGGGCTAATAGCCCCCCCCTTAAACAGCAGTGAGGACCCAATGATGACAGCAATGGCAATAAGGAGGAGGAACAGCAGCAGCAGTCCTTCCTCAGTCTTTCCTCTTTCCTCAGTCCTTCCCATGTGCCAGGCACACAGCTAAACACTTTACATATGATCTCATTTAACCCTCACACAACCCAGCAAGGTAGAGACTGCAACACCCCATTTCACAGGTGAGGAAACTGGGGCAAGGGGAGGCAAATCAATGTTCCCCAAGTCACACAGTTGGTAAACACAAGAGCCAAGGTTTGAACAGTCTACTCAGTCTGTGCTCTCAACGACTCCATGATCCAGGCTGTAATAAGAAGCCACCACATAAGTGCACGTAGCCCAGGAAGGAGTATACAGCAGGTGCACCATATAAGCATGCAATAGGCTGACTCCCAGGGGTATATTGGGACTTCAAGCTGTGTTTTGGAAAAAGCTGCAGAGGTTGGTCGTCGGCTTCCACACAATGGAACAGGAGAAGGAGAGACTTGCGTGGTCTTCCCAGTTCTCCTGGAGGAACAAGCCAGAGAGCCTGGCTCATGCACTAAGAGAGGCTGGGGCACTTGGCGTAGAGTAGGGGAAGGCTCCCTGGGCAGCTTCCCATGGGTTCCTCCCCTCTCCAGGACTCAGCTCTCACTCTGGGCTTTGGCTCCCGTTGGCGGCGCTTCTGAAGTACACTGTTAGGGTTGGCAGAGTGTTCTGCAGCTGCTGTGAGCCGGGCTGCTGTGTGAGTGAAGCCCTTAGCACAAGGACAGGCTTGTCCCAGAAGAAAGGCTCCTAGAAGCGTGACTAAGCCACTGCCCGTAACTAACTTGGCCTGGGACCCCCGCCAGGCCTGTGCAGCCACTCAATGGTCGCTCTGTGCTCTGGGCACAGGCAGCTGGGTGTGAGAGGAAAGACAATGTTTGGGCTGACATTCCAGGCCCCCAGAGAGGTCGAAGGCTTGGGACAAAGTCCTGAAGGGGGCCAGCACGGCATGACTGGTTAAATGCTGAGGTTTGCCAGGTTCTGAGGCTTCTAGGAAGGGCAGAGATCAGGGAATATGGGTCGGCTGGTCCTCTAGGCTGGGGCGGGGGTGGCAGGCTCAGTAATCAGCAAATGGAGGTGGAATTAAACTCTGAGTCGGGAAGCCATTTCAGATGGGTCTCCAGAGCTTATATTTTTTAAGCGGATGTGTCTGCCAGGCCCACCTCAGCCAGCCTGGTCAGATTTGTAAAACCGCAGCGAAAATCCCAAGAAATCCTGACTGATCCCTCTGCCTCCAGCTTTGGGCCCTCCAATCCACCTTCCACAAGGCTGCTGGGTGATCCTCCCAACACGCAAATCTGATTGTGATGCTCCCCTGCTTAAAACCCCTTTCAATAGCTCCCTGTGGCTATTGGGATAAACTCCAAGCTTCTTAGCATGACATACAAGGGCCCCTTCGTGATCCAGCCTGTCCAGTCTCGTCTCTTGCTGGGCCCCCTGCTGGGCCCCTTCCATCAGCTTCCCCATCTCTCTCTCTCTCTCTCTCTCTCTCTCACACACACACACACACACACACATACACACACCACGTTCCAGAAGAGCCACCTGTAACCACAGCACACCTACCTTGGTGCCTTTGTACATGCCACCTTTTGTGCCTTCCCTCCACCTTCACTTGGCAAATCCCTGTGTATCCTCAGAGCCTCAGCCCAGGTGTTGCCCCTCAGAAAAACTTTTCCTGAAAATCCCTCCATCTTCCCAAACCTCATGCTGACCCCCATGCCAGCGCTCACCATCTTGGACTGATTAGAATTGTCCATTTACTTGTCAGCCACCTTCAAAGAACTGTGATCTACTCAAGCCTAGAGGCCATCCCCCATTCAATTTTCTAACCCTGGCCCCAGCAGGAGGCTGACCTCAGCACAAGACTGGCTAGTGATCATTGCTTCTGAATACAAGAGAATACAGACATTGATAGGCAAATCTTGGTATCAGAACCCTACTCCTGTGGGGTCAAGGCAGTGAAATCTCAACTTTCATTTACCCAGAATTGTGGATAAAGCCTGCAGTAGGGAAGAGATGGAGCAAGGCATGGGCACAGGCCCCACTTCACAGGACTGAGGTCTTTCAGATGCATGTTGACTATGAGAGCCTGGGTTTTATGTCATCTTTTCTGTGATGTAATCCTATGAGGAGGGGTTCCTAGGCCTATTCACAAAGGGGTTCTAGTTACAAGGCTGGGATCCTGTCAGTGAAAAATCCTATAAAATTACAGTAAAAGGAGAGGGGTGGCACTCCTGCTGTAAAAAGAGTTTCTGATGAGATGGGGCAGAGAGGCAGGCCATGGTTCAGCAGTTTAGAACTTTGAAGGCAAGGTGCCATGTGAATTCCATACACATTTTATAGATAGGATTTGGGTACATGATTCAAGTAGGGATAGGCCGAGGAATTATCAGGGGTAATCAGGATTTACTCCATCTCACCCAGGTTCCCCAAGGCCTACCACAACCCTCTCTGAGGCTCCCCCTTTCCCAAGGGCCTCCCCTGGTCTGGGGAGGTGAGTGCTAGGTGTAGACATAACAGACAGACACTTGCAGGCCAGAGTTCCACGATCTAGAATGCCTATGAAGTCTGCCGCCACTCCCAAATTTTAAAATCAGAAAGCAGATTTTCAGCCCAGAAAACTCACTGCAGGTGGGTTGGAAGGCCTGTGTGCCCCAAAGCACCAGGAACTTGTCCCCCAACCCTGGACTTTTATCACATTTTACTGCCAACAACACATTCCCTCTTCTTGAGGCTGGCAGCCTCTCCGGACACGGATCACACCAGATTTATCTCCATGTCTCCAGATTCCAGCACAAAGCTAGCAGGGCAGTGGCAGTACATGTTTGTTCAGTGACGGAACCCAGGGATGGACTGGAGCATCTGAACAATGGCTCACAGCCAAGCCATGGGGTTGACTAGCACCTGGGATGGGGGATCCTAGCCTGACTGCACGGGGCCTGAGAGGCCACCAGCTGTGCCCACTGCACTCAAACCAGCAGGCCCGCCATCACAGCAACTCTACCTCGAGTAAAGCATTGCAGAGGGCAGGGCCTCAGGCTCATCGTTTGTTCAGTGGGCACCATGGGATGGAATCAGGGAGTGGATGTGGAACTTTCGTTACCTACAGACTGCAGCATGTATTAGTTATAAATGCAAAAGAGGTATGCATGGAAAAGTTGGAGGACAGACCTGCAGCAGCCATGCCACTAGTGAAATCAGTCTCAAGGGGCCTCTCGCCTCCCTCAGAATTGTCCACTCTCTGGGGTGTGCTCACAGCCCCACTCTTGCTGGAAGCTGATCCTCATGCTAAGACTGCTGTTAGCAACTGCTTTATTTTTTCAGTACCACCATTTACTAAGCATTTGCAGCATTAATAATTAGGTTAGACTGATTGTGCACCATACTGACACCATCTCACCTACTCATGCAACCTACCGAGTGGGTACCCTGTGCAGCCCATTTGAGGGCAGAGGTCGCTGATGCTCAGGGAAACAAACTGCCCAAATTCAGACAAATCAGGACCAGCACTCAGGCCAGGGCACTCGCTGAAGCCCAGCTTGAGTCCACTATGTCACCCACCTCTGAATCCAGCTCAGGCTTCACACGAGGCAAGATTTATTCTTGAAATGAGTTTAGTACACCTCCATCAGCTCCTCTTTGAAGCCATGCCAGGCCAAAGCTCCTGGCGATGATGCCACCCATGGCATCTCCTGAGCCAAAGCTTCCAGACATTGCCTTGTCGGTAAGTGTTCAGACCTGCAGGGGCCCCTCCTCTCCTCTGCAAGTCTGGAGAATTTTTCTCCAAGGCGTGCTTCCCACAAGTGGCTCCCATCTTGGAGCCCTGCAAAGTGCTTCAGAGGGAGGCTGGTGGACTCCACCCCTGCCTGGGGCTCAGCCTTGTTGTGGGGGGGTGGGCAGAGCTGGACAAAGACGCACACCCGGTGCCCTGCCCGGTGGTCTTTGGGGTCACCCTAGAGGAAAGGGAGGGCCTGGAAAGGGAGACCCTGAGTTCCCTCTTAGGAACGGGAGGCTTCTGGACATCTCAGAAAGGGGACAGGAGACCAAAGCAGGTGAGGACTTAGAACAAAGGAGTTTCTGAACATTTCAGGAGGGGAGCAGGAGACCAGAGCAGGTGAGGACTTAGAAAACCTGAGCCTCGCTGGGTTCGGTGGCTCAGCCTGTAATCCCATGCCTTTGGGAGGCTGAGGTGAGTGGATTGCCTGAGCCCGTGTGTTCGAGACCTGCCTGGGCAGGCGAGACCTCATCTCTACAATAAATCAAAAAATTAGCCAGGCGTGGTAGCGCGCACCTGTAATTCCGGCTACTCAGAAGGCTGAGGTGGAAGGATCGCCGGAGCTCAGCAGGTCGAGGCTGCGGTGGCCGGGAGCGGCCACTGCACTCCAGTGTGGGTGACAGAGTGAGACTCCAACTCAAAAAAAAAAAGAAAAAGAAAAAGAAAACCTGAGCATCTATCTGTTATTTTGTTGCTATCCAGGTCTCAGGGAGCAGCAACTGCTGAGCCTGAAGGAGGATTGGGTTGGGCTGGTCAGACAGCCACCTCTCAGCCAGGTTGGGGTCCAGAGACTGAGGGGTGGCAGTAGGAGGACACGAGGGGTGGCAGGCCCTGGGGCTTGAGGACAGAGCTCAGGGCTGGCCCAGGCCTGACATGTGGCCACTAGGGTTCAGTCATGTGACTTCCCTACCACACCCTAATCAGAGCGAACAGGCAGTGGCAGCAGAGGGGAGAATGACCCCAGGCACCCCAGAAGGATCTCAGCCACTGTGGCTGCTGCAGCAAGGGCTGCAGACCTCTTGGGACTCAGAGCTACAAACTCGTAGCAGGGCAAGAGCCCTAAAGACAAAGGAACAGGGCCTCATATGTTGCTCTCCAGACAAGGAGATGAGTATCCACATCCCAGTTGCTTAGAGTTCAAATCTCAATGCTTGGCAGCCAGTG